TGGGATACGAGCCCACGACCTTTCTATTGCCGGTAGACTGCAACTGTATATGTAGACTGTAAATGTCAAAGAATTCGGAGAATCTCGGGGAGCATGTAGCTCAGTGGTCAGAGCAGTCTACTGGCAATAGAAAGGTCGTGGGCTCGTATCCCACCATGCTACCGTTTTTTCTGGATTCTTTGATAATTTTAAAATTATTAATTAATTTCAGATAAAGATAATTAATTTAATTAATTTAATTAATTATAATTAATTTTTAATTTTTCAGATTAAGCAGGTTTCTGTATTCGGGCAGCTGTGCTGTCGATACATATGAAATCTAAGAGCTTATAGAGATTTATTTAAGATATTTAATTTATTTAGTAAAAATTTGATTCGGATAATTGATAGCTTCTTTCTTCTTAATATTTAACTGCTGAATGATAAATTCACTTTCTATAATTATAATTGCCTATGAATTAAAATACTAGGCTTACCATATTTAAGAAACTTCCTACGTTATCATTTAAATAACGTAGGAAGGGATAGTATATGTCAAAGAATTCGGAGAATCTCGGAGTGCATGTAGCTCAGTGGTCAGAGCAGTCTACCGGCAATAGAAAGGTCGTGGGCTCGTATCCCACCATGCTACCGTTTTTTCTGGATTCTTTTATAATTTTGAAATTATTAATTAATTTCGAAAATACTTTTCAGATTAAGCAGGTTTCTGTATTCGGGCAGCTGTGCTGTCGATACATATGAAATCTAAGAGCTTATAGAGATTTACTTAAGATATTTAATTTATTTAGTAAAAATTTGATTCGGATAATTGATAGCTTCTTTCTTCTTAATTTTTATATTAATTACTATTTTATTAAAATTAGACTATATTATTAGTAATAATTAAACATGTCAAAACGAAAAGCAGATTGTTAAGAACCAGATAAAGAGGTATTTAAAAGAAGAAAAAATGAAATGGATGCGATTCGACTGCGAAGTTATCGTCAAAAAAAGAGCGCAATTAAGAAAAATAAACGTACAAAAGATGCTGAACGACAACAATTGTATCGATTGAAAATAAAAAATAATCAGTTGTTAACAAAGCAGCAGTCAGAGATTTCCAACACGAATTGTGAAACACAAGAATTATTGCAAGATGAAAATTATTCAATTCAATCTACATCACATTGCGAAAAAAATCCAAAACAAAGTGATTGTTTAAACATAGACGATTTCATTTCTGCAAATAAATTTTCTGGGATTAATTTGACTCAGAGGAAAGTAGAACCAACAAAAAAAGAAGAAAAGTTTAAAGAACAAAAACGTAAAAAGGATGCTGCTCGACAAAGAGCTTATCGCGATAAAAAAAAAAGAAAACAATCTGTAACAAAAAAATTGTTAGAGGGTGGTGAAACTAAATTACAAACAACAGAATTATTAGCAAATGAAGAAACTCAAATTCAGTCTACTTCTCACTGTGAAATAAATAAATTTTCTGCTATTAATTTGACACAGGATAAAGCAGGGCCATCAAAAGAAGAAGATGAATTTAAAGAACAAAAACGTAAAAAGGATGCTGCTCGACAAAGAGCTTATCGCGAAAAAGTAAAAAGAAAACAATCTGTAACAAAGAAATTGTTAGAGGATTCTGAAACTAAATTACAAACAACAGAATTATTGGCAAATGAAGAAACTCAAATTCAGTCTACTTCTCACTGTGAAATAAATAAATTTTCTGCTATTAATTTGACACAGAATAAAGCAGGGCCATCAAAAGAAGAAAATGTATTTAAAGAACAAAAACGTAAAAAGGATGCTGCTCGACAAAGAGCTTATCGCGAAAAAATAAAAAGAAAACAATCTAACAAAAAAATTGTTAGAGGGTGGTGAAACTACATTACAAATAACGAAATTATTGTCAAATGAAGAAATTGCAATTCAGTCTACTTCTCGCTGTGAAATAAATAATTTTTCTAACTTTAATTTGCCAAAAAGGAGATTAAAACGATTAATGGAAGAAGATGGTGAGTTTAAAGAAAAAAAACGTAAAAAGGATGCTGCTCGACAAAGATCTTATCGTGATAAAACAAAAAGAAAACTATCTTCAACAAAAAAATTGTTGGATGGTGCAGAAACGACATTAGAAACAAAAGAATTATTGTCAAATAAAGAAACTACAATTTTATCTACTTCATGCTCTGAAAGTAATATAAAAAATACTGACGTTTCTATTGAGAGCAATGTAATGGCTGATAATTTGAATATAAGCGATGTTATGTCTGAAAATAAACCTTTCAATACTGATTCAGATCAAAGAGATAAACAAAGATCAAAAGAAGCTGAAGAAGAATACAAGAAACTAAAACGTAAAAAAGATACTGTTCGCATCTTTTAATGCAAATTTAGTTAATTTTAACAATAGAAGACCTGGTCCTTTTTGTTCTAAAATCCATGGACAAATTTATTATGAAATCAATACTTCACTGTACCCTTCTGATAATGATAATCCTTCCTTTGGGTAGTTATTTATTGTAGATCAAAACGAAGCTACACAATTACGATGTGATCAAAGTAATTTGCTAAATCCAGATATTGTTAATAGCATTGATCAAGCTTTACGTGATTATAATGTTTTTGCTAAATCTTATGAAATGATTCATGAAGAATTCCAAGCAACTTTGAGTGAATCTAATTCTCAATCATCTTCTGAACTACAATTATTATTTTCTTTAAAACCAGGAATGGATCTTAGAAGATACAATCCACAAAGAGTAAATGAAGTTGCAGCTATATTTACTACCACAGAAGATGGCGAAATTCCTGAATCATATATATCTATACGAAATAAAACATCTAAAGAACTGCAATTTGTAAGTACGATGGATGCTAATGTTGAACCTTGGATTTATCCATTATTTTATCCACATGGCACACAAGGATGGACTGATAATATAGCTCATGTAAAAAGACGTGGACGAGTGACAAGAAGTGAATACATGAAGTATCGTTTAGGCGTTCGAGATAACAATGTATTCTTATAAGGGGGTAGATTATTTCAACAGTGGTTAGTTGATAATTATGTCAAAATAGAGAAAGATAGAATGAATTTTTGTAGATTTAATCAAAAAACCTTAAGTGCTGATACTTATCAAGGACTAATTGATCATTTACAACAAACAGCAACGGAAAGTAATATACGTGTAGGAAAAATGGTTATTTTGCCATCTACTTTTACAGGTTCTCCTAGAAATATGTTACAACATTATCAAGACGCTATAGCTATCGTTAGAAAATATGGTAAACCAGATCTGTTTATAACTATGACATGCAATCCAAACTGGATTGAGATTCAAGAAAATCTTTTACCTGGACAAATTCCTTCTGATCGTCCAGATTTAATATCACGTGTTTTTAATATTAAAAAAACGCATTAATCGATACTATTGTTAAAAAGAAATTATTTGGTGATGTAATGGCTTATGTATCTGTTGTTGAATATCAAAAACGAGGTTTACCACATATTCATATCTTAATTACATTAAAACAAAATTGTATAATTACTACTCCTGAAGTAGTAGACAAATTTATTTCAGCTGAAATACCAGAAAATGATCCCAAATTACATGACATTGTTATTAAAAACATGCTACATGGTCCATGTGGAGATTGGTGCAAAGATGAAAAAGGCAAATGTAATAAAAATTTTCCAAAAAGATTTGAAGAAGAAACACTTATGGATGAAAATGGATACTCTACATATAAGCGACGAAATTTAGGAGATTAATTTCGTACTAATGGATGTAAAGTAAATAATCAATACGTTGTTCCCTATAATTCAACATTGTTAAAAATGTTTAATTGTCATATCAATGTAGAAGTAGTTTCTAGCATTAAATCTGTCAAATATGTGTACAAATATATATATATATATATATATATATATATATATATATAAAGGACATGATGCTGCTACAGTTGTGATTTCTGATAGAGGATCAGATGAAACATTAATAAATCATGATGAAATTAATAATTATTTAGAAACTCGGTATGTTGGTCCTGTGGAAGCATATGATAGAATTCTAGGACGATCTTTACAAGAAAAAGTCATTCTATTATTCGATTACCTGTCTATTTACCAAATCAACAGAGTGTTATAATTAACAGCAGCGAAAGTAATGATTCCATAAGAGCTGCATCAGAAAAACAAACTATGCTTCTTGATTACTTTCGTTTGAACGAACGTGATCCAGAAGCTCGCAAATTTACGTATGCTGAAATACCTTCTCATTTTGTATACAAAAAGACAAATGAATCATCTAATTGTAATTAGCAAAAACGCAAAACACAATTTAATGTAATTGGTCGCATGTATTCTGTCAGTCCAACTCAAGTTGAATTATTTCATCTTCGATTATTATTGTTAATATCAGTTAAAAGTGCTACAAGTTTTGAAGATCTTCTAACTGTTAATGGAATAAGACATGACAGTTTTCAAAATGCATGTTTAGCCTTGGGTTTTATTGAAGATGATGCTGAATAATCCAAAAGATCTCTGGGAAAAATTTAAAGATTCAATGTCAGAAGATTTTCAAAGAAATAATGATATATTAATTTCTTATAGACACACAATTTTAGAATTTAATAATATTCTTTCTAATGAAAATTTAGACATTAGTAAATTTTCGTTTTTATCTGATGTCGTAAATTATACAAATGTAAATATTGATAGTAGCAATAACTTTATCATAGAAAATCACGAAGAACTGGGTCAAACTCAATACTTAAAATTAAATTGTCAACAAAAAAGTGTTGTTGATATGATTTTGGAAGCTGTTTTATTAAACAAACCATCGTCATGCTTTTATATAGATGGTCCTGGTGGATCGGGTAAAACATTTATTTATACTACATTATATTATTTATTAAAAAGTAAGAAAAAAACTATTTGCACCACGGCATTTACGGGTATTGCAGCAATATTATTTCCTCATGGAAAGACACTTCATAAAACATTTGGAATGCCAGTACCTTTGTTTTCAGACTTTGTCTCAAATTTCAAAAGTCAATCTAAAGATGCTGAATACTTGAAGCAAGTTGATGTTTTTATCTGGGATGAAGCACCAATGGCACCCCGTTATGCTTTAAAATTAATTGATAGAACTTTGCGTGATTTTATGAACGTAGATTTACCATTTGGTGGAAAAGTAATGGTACTTAGTGGAGATTTCAGGCAACTTTTACCTGTAAAAATTCATGCTACTCGAAGTGAAATGGTCAATTTGTCAATTAAATTTAGTTCTCTTTGGAAAAATTTCTCTTTACATACACTGACTAAAAATATGCGAACTTTATCAGAAGAAACAGAATTTGCAAAATTTCTATTATCTGTTGGTGATGGAATCTTAAATGATAAAGATAATAATTTATTGCTACCAGAATGTGTAGCCTCAAAATCTGATGATATTGTTCGCACAATTTTTGGTTCATTGATTGCAGAACGTAAATATGAAAATTTATCAAAAGTTGAAATTTTAGCTGCAAGAAACATTGACGTTGAAGAAATCAATTGCAGAGTTGTAGAACTTCTTGATAAAAATACGGAAAAAATCTATACTAGCGTCGATAGCGTTAGAAATTGTGACAATGGAGAAATTAATGATGGACTTTTGCCAGAATACTTAAATACATTAAATCCTCCTAACTTTCCACCATACGAATTACGATTAAGAGTCAATTGTATTGTTATGTTAGTTAGAAATTTAAGTATCAATGAAGGACTGTGTAACGGAACAAGATTACAAGTGTTAGAGCTTGCGAATAATCTTTTACGGTGTAAAATTTTAACAGGTGATAAAGCTGGTGATGTAGTATTTATACATAGAATAGACTTATATTGTGAAAATTTGTATCCGTTTACATTTAAAAGACGCCAATTTCCAATAAAATTAGCATTTGCAATGACTATTAATAAGAGTCAAGGTCAAACATTTGATATGATTGGAATTGATTTACGAAAAGATGTATTTAATCATGGACAATTATATGTTGCATTTTCAAGAGTTCGTTCTTGGGAATCTCTTAAAATTTTTCTTGGGAGTCAACGAACATCTTACATTGTTAAAAACTATGTATATAAAGAATTGTATGTTTAATAAATTAAATACTAATTGATTAATATGATTTATTACTTAAATAAGTATTAAATAAAAGAAGTAAACACGCGTGCTAGAGCGCGCGTTCGGTCTCGTATGAATTAAAAGCAAAAAACGAGGTAAATTATTCTGTTACTCATTCTTTAACAGTTTTTAAGGTCCCCGATTATAAATCTAAAGTTTTTTTTAAAATCCAAAATGTCGGACAAAATTCAAATTTGATCAGATTCGATTAAAACTTGTTACTCGGCGGTTTTTAGGGTCGCTGATTACAAATCTGAAGTCACTTTTTCAAAATTCAAAATGGCGGGTCCCATATGACTGAAAAAAAATGTTCAAATTTGATACAATTCGCTTAAAGCTTGTAATAATAACAAATTGTTTGCATTATATAACAGTATGAAGCTAGAATTTCTTAAAAGTGACTTCATATTCGTAATCAGATACCCTAAAAACCCGCGAGTAACAAGTTTTAATTAAATATTATCAAATTTGAAAATTTGTCCACCATATTGAATTCGGCATTTTTAATTTCTAAAAAGTAACTTCATATTCGTAATCTGTGGCCCCATAAGCCTCCGAGTAACACGTTTTAAGGAAATCGGATCAAATTTGAAACATTTTTCCGGCATATTGGATCCGCCATTTTGAATTTTTAAAAAGTACCGACAGATTAGCTCAGTCGGATAGATGCCTCGCTTGGCGGTCGTTTAAGGACCAAGGGTAAGTACCCTTGGTTCGCGCCCATTCGGCTTGGTATTTTTCCGGCACGTGAGACAATCTGAGCGGGAGGTTTGACGTCGAGGTATAATGATGTGCATTGTCGATTATTGTCCGGTACACACCATTAGAACTCGACTGTCGATAAACCGGTTGTACTCAGGAGAGGTTTTCTACAGTTTCCCTCTCCACTGGCGAGAAAACCCATTAGACGGGTGGTCCATGCAAATGCGAGTACTCCTAATTATCAAGTCGCTCTGTAGGCGCAAAACTTGGTATTAGGAAATGTACATAAGAAATATTTTGTAAGAGAAACACTTGTATAGCCAAGAATGTAAGGCTGAAGACAGGTGTATAAACCAATTGGGTAATTTATAATGATAAATAAAATACAGCAATTTAAATTAACAAAAATCAATAATTTATTAGAAATATTTAGTACTCGGAGCGAGGTTGTGATCAGGACGAGAAGGAGGCAAATACTGAATGAAAAATGGCTACTACCTAACCTAAGCGTCGCTTGGAAAAAGAGATAGAGAAAAATTAGCCAAAAATATGTAAAGGATAGAAAAAGATGAAAACTGGTGAAGAGTGGGAAAAAGGAGTACACATTGCGAATACATCTTACCAGCCTGCAAGGACCGATTTTTTATGGTAGGGTCGTTGGTAGGTATGAACGTTGGACGCGAAGCGAGACAAGGTTTTGGTAGTAGGTATACTTCGGAAAATCTAATTTACATTTAGAAAACTCAAAAATAATATTTCCTGGCACAACCAAACCAATATTGATTATTGGGTCTATAATGGTCCTAGCTTGGAATGTACCTTAACCTGGCCCTAACTTGGTAATAGCTAGAGCTTCTTGTTAGATTATAAGTTATAAATATATTTAAAAATATGTATCAGTAATTGTTTATGTGTAATTTGAAGTAATATTTAAACATCTCATAGCAAGATTGATACAATATTGAACTGAAATGTTTACTTTTAACTTTGCATTTGTAAAATTTGACAAATAATTATCAGTAGAATTCTACTAATTGCTATTATCAGAATTGAGTTACTGATAATTAGTAGAAAGTTACTGATTCGATTAGTAAAATATAAGTTACTGATTAAATCTGTTGTATAAAAATATGACATAGTCAAATTTACTAATTTACCAGTTGAATTTAAAGGTTATGTTAGTTTTTCCTTGGCTATCAGCATATTTACAGTGTATCCTTAGTTCCGAAGCTTATGAAAGTTAAAATAAATCTTTAAATATCTGCAGTTTTTCAATGTTGGGCGCATAAGTTGACTAAACATTGCATGAATGTTTACAATTTTCTTTAATTTTTTAAGTTTTTCAAAACTTTTTAAAATTTTCTTTAAACTTCCTCCTTTAAAGAAAAAATTCATTTAAATTAAAAAAATTTCTACTTCATGCAATGTTCAGTTAACTTTTGCACCCAATATTGAAAAACTGCTGACATTAAAGATTTATTTAAAGTTTCATGAGCTTTGATTTAAGCTTCAGTTAATTAACTCAATTAAAATTTTCGTTACAATATATTTTTCAAGTTAAATTTTTAAAACCGTTCACGGATTTGTTAACTTCTGTTAAAATCATATTTTTTTGAATGAAACTGAAGTTTCCAACGTTTACGTCGACGAAATGAGATAAAAACTTCAATTTTTAAATAACAATTGACTTTCCCTCCCCGAATGGATTAAAAATCTATGCAGGATGTAATGAAAAGAACAATTAAGTTCTTTTTATCAGAAATTATTTGCATTTTGATCTTTAAAAAAATTCTTTTCTCATTTTGCGTCAACGAAAATGTTACTGACTTCAGTTTTATTATTTTGAGGCATTTATAATGGAATAGTTCATATGACTTATGATGACAACAATAACCTGAAGTATCATGCAATGCATCGTACCGAGCGAGCGTGGTTAAGTGGTTAGGTTATCGGTTTACAAATGTTAGGGTCGTGCGTTCAACTCCCAACGTGTGGGGATTTTTTCTCTGTTAGTACACTGGGGTCAAAAAGTTTCAGTACATTTGTGTGAATCATTTGAAAATACTTGCTCCTCTTCAAATGCAAATATATCAGCGAAACTAGCAGTTAAAGCTATCAAACTAGGTTCAATTGAAAGTTTATTAAATTTGGCGTCAAATGAACAAAGATACAATAATTTTAATAATATAAATAAGAAATTATAGTAATTCAAAATGAGAGAATAATTTGTGAAAATTACGATTTCGAAATCATGAGTTTGAGGTAACGCCAGTTGGAGAAAAAATTTTTTTTAGACTTCATATTTTTACAACATGAAGAATAAACTCTACGCTTTAATTCTCATACAAATTCATTTTAAAATAAACACTAATTGCTTCAAATTTTGTAAAAGTAATTACTCGTGCTCTAGAAATTTTTCAAGTAATGTGAATTACAAATTTGCAATTTACATTCTTTTGTTTTGCCTTTTAACCACACTTTTGAAAATATGTGCTGGAGAACAGAAAGCTTTCCGCTCAAGATTTACGTGTAGAAATCAATAAATAACCTCTTGATTGTTTTAAATGCAGACTAATAATATAAAAAATATATATGTTTCTTCATAAATTTTTAATTCAAAAATAATTTTATACTTAACAAATTTAGATATGTATTTAATTAACTTATACAATTTAAGTGAAACAAATTTTAAGTTTATATTTATTTTATTACTATATAAAACATAAACTAATTAGAACACATTTATTTATTAAATTACAATTATAAACTAAACTGTTTTTTCATCAAAATACCCCCCTTTTGCGCTAATGACTGCTTTGCAAATTCGAGGCATTCTAGCTAGCAGTTTCTCGAGTGTTTCTGTTGTAATTTCGTCCCATTTCACAAGGCAAATTTGTCTATCTAATTCATCCCACAATAATTCAATTGGAGACAAATCAGGTGAGTAAGGAGGCCATACCATAACTTTTAGTATTCCCTTATCTTCTTTCTTTTTTACATAATTTTTGCAGAGCTTCGAGGTATGTTTGGGGTCATTATCTTGCTGCAAAATAAAGCCTTTGCCAATATTTTCTAATCCTGAAGGAATCAGATGACGCTGTAAAATATTGTGGTAACCCTCTTTATTTAGTATTCCTTTAATTTCAATCAAATGGCCAACCTTCGAACCTCCAAATGCACCCCAAACCATAATACTGCCACCTCCATGCTTGACTGTCGGTGTTACGCACTCAGACAAGAACTTTTCGTTTATCCGCCTTCTAACATAAACTTTTCTTTTTGAGCCAAACAATTCGAATTTGGATTCGTCTGTCCAAAGTACCTACGTAAATTTGTAAAATGTTAAAGTTAAAGTCTGTAAAAAATGAAACAGAATATTTTTTTATTTTAATTTATATAATAAACCTTTCTCCATTGCTCTACTGTCCAATTGCGATAATTTTTAGCCCACTGAAGTCGTTTTCTTTTATGCTCAGTTTTTAATATTGGCTTTCTCTTTGACACACAACCTTTAAGTCCAGCTTTTTTTAATATATTTTTCACCGTACCCTTACTGATTGGATTTATTCTGTTTTCATTTATTTCTGCCCGCAAATCTTGGGCTGTACGCCTTCTGTTCTTCAGGCTTCTAATAATTAGATAACGTTCTTCACGACGAGTTGTAACTTTTGGACGACCGCTTCGTTTTCGGTCTTCATAGTTTCCAGTTTCTTTTTTCCTTTTTAATACGTACTGTACTCCAAAAACCGAAGTGTTAATTTCACTGGCTATTTCTCTCAAAGTATATCCTTGTTCACGTAAAGTACAAATTTTAACCCTATCATTATTACTTATTTCAGTTTTTGGTGCCATGTTTTCACTTTGCAATGAGAAACAAGCACATATTTTCAAAAGTGTGGTTAAAAGGCAAAACAAAAGAGTGTAAATTGCAAATTTGTAATTCACATTACTTGAAAAATTTCTAGAGCACGAGTAATTACTTTTACAAAATTTGAAGCAATTAGTGTTTATTTTAAAATGAATTTGTATGAGAATTAAAGCGTAGAGTTTATTCTTCATGTTGTAAAAATATGAAGTCTAAAAAAAATTTTTTCTCCAACTGGCGTTACCTCAAACTCATGATTTGGAAATCGTAATTTTCACAAATTATTCTCTCATTTTGAATTACTATAATTTCTTATTTATATTATTAAAATTATTGTATCTTTGTTCATTTGACGCCAAATTTAATAAACTTTCAATTGAACCTAGTTTGATAGCTTTAACTGCTAGTT